TTATTATTATTTTGAACAAATGTGCTTAAATTACAACATAGGCTGTAAAGATCCTTTACTCCAGAAAAGGAGAGGTGTGATAATGAGGAGTAGGTGCAGGTGTTTCAGAATTCAGGTGATATTGATTGTTGTGGAGAGTGAAGGGCCCTGACATGCTGGACAATCAGGGTGTGATTCATGGAAAGAGGTAAGAAGAGCAGGACCCATGATTATTCTTCTGGTCCATATTATTCCCAGTCTACCAGATATTCTAGACGGCCACCATGGCGTCAGGAATCCAAGCTCTCACGATTCGCTGAGACAGCTCCATCTTCCAGGATGAGCGGTGGGGGGTCCTCCATGGGACCAGGCTCTGTGGAAGAGTCAGACACAGGAGGGTGGTAAAGGTTTTAAAAGTTTAAGTAATGTGTGGGTAACCCAGGAGATGAATTGTGGTCCATGATCGGAAATGATGTCCTCTAGGAGGCCAAAATTACAGAAAACACAATTAAACATCAGCTCACCAGTTTCCATGGCAGCGGGGAGTCCCTTGAGGGGAATTAAAAGACATACTTTGTAATATCTATCTACTAGGATGCAGGTATAACCATCTGAGGGAGGCAGATTGGTGATGAAAGTCCTCTCCTAGGTGTGACCAGGGGCGCTGAGGAACAGGCAACAGGAGGTGCCGTTCCTAGCCACCAGAAGTGATCTTATGGTGAGGATTTGATTGGCCCCTGGGTGGCCAGTGCCCACATGTGTGAACAGATCTGATCGGAGGGATGCATTGAGTTCTGGGAACATAGGTATGACCTGAGGGACACTCCGACGGAGTGTATTCAGAGGCATTGGCTTCAGGGATTTGCTCTTCAAGGGACTACTGAATAGGACTTACGGTGAGACTGGCTGGGATGACTGGATCAGGCTTCTTGGGAGGCTCATCGGAGGCATGGAGACAGGAAAGAGTGATTTAACATGTTTTGGATCAAGGAAGGTAGGAAATTGAGATGATGAATCGGGCCTATCTTGGCTTGCCGTGGATTAAGTCTCATGGCTTTTGTGAGGATACTCGAGGTTCTTATGGACTTTGAGTGTGGTAAATGAATGTTGGGCTCCCTCCAGCCAATGCCTCCATTCCTCCAGGGCCAGTTTAATGGCTAGAAGCTCTCTGTTCCTGATGTTGTAATTTTTCTCTACCAGGGTGAGCTTTTTAGAGAAGGCGGCACATTGATGAAGTTTTGGTGATGTCCCCTGCTGCTGACACAGGATCACTCCAACTCCTGTCGTAGAGGCATCAGCCACAAAGGGTTTCTTGGGGTCTGGATGAATTAGGAGGGAAATGCTTCTTTGGAAATGCTCATGGCTTGGGCAGCAGCTAGAGTCCAGGACAGAGACTTGCGCCTGACTTTGAGGACATTGGTAAGTGGATGAGTAATGGAACTGAAGTTATGGATGAAGCGTCCATAGAAATTGGCAAAACCAAGGAAACATTGTGAGCAGGCCACTTGCGGACTGCAGGAACCTTCCCCTTGTCCATCCGAATGACATCTTTACTGATGTGGAAACCCAGGAAGTGAGTTTGTGAAGGTGTGCTGGATCAAGCAGACATGCAAAACGTGCAGTGTTACAGTACTCCAGGAATCTGGTTGTGATCTCTAGATTACCCAACGGTTCTTTTGTTTAGTAGGTTCTGGTTATAGATAGAGATAGAGATAAGAAGGATCTGCATCTGGTGGACAGAGGGACAGATATTTTTAAAAACTAGCAAAGGAGCACAAGGGGAAGTCGTGATGGTTAGAGAGTTGGACTCGTAACCCAAAGGTTGTGGGTTCGAGTCTCGTACCGGCAGGGATTGTAGGTGGGGGGAGTGAATGTACAGCGCTCTCTTCCACCTTCAATACCACGACTGAGGTGCCCTTGAGCAAGGCACCGAACCCCCAACTGCTCCCCGGGAGCCGCAGCATAAATGGCTGCCCACTGCTCCGGGTGTGTGTGTGTGCACTTCGGATGGGATAAATGCAGAGCACTAATTCCTAGTATGGGTCACCATACTTGGCCACATGTCACGTCACGTCACGTCACGTCACGTCACGTCACTTTCACTTCAGGTTGTGAGGTTCATCAAAGATGCACCCCCAGTAATGTTTTTACATGGTTGTACATTGAACCGTACTTTCTGAATGAGACCAACTGCTGTATCTGGCGACAGCACATCCAAATTTCTAATTAAGTGCACGGCTGCAGGTGAGATCAGGGATGATGCTGGCTAGTGTCCTTCCCAGTTTTGTGAATTGTTTTAACAGCAGATTTAAAAATGATGTTGCACTTTTGAAAATGTCAAAACTTTTTAAAATACCTGGCCACATAGCAGGATATAAAGTCTGTTTGTTCTTTAGGTTTTTTGTTTTTGGTAAAAATTCTGAACTTGACAAGTTAAGTTATAGTAGGTTATTCATAACTAGCTGCTTATGAAACGATAGAAATCAATGAAATGTCCCCATTTAGCTAGATAATTGAGTGAGAAATTTGTTTGGAAAAGCATGGAAATGGAATTTTATCCAGCTGTTAGTTTAATGTGCTTGGTGGATTTTGTTTATTTCTTTGTACTGAATTGTGTCAAATAAGAGACAAAATGTGCAGTGCTGTGGGTAATCAGAACCAAGATCGAAAACCACTGCTATAAGAGGTAACACTTTGAAAGTTTGCTTCGCAAGTTGACGTATAGTAAATCAGTATATAAGCCAAGATTTAAAAAAAAGCCTGCTGCTGATGCCAAACTAATTCTGCTAAATCAAATGAAGAAAAGGTAATCACTCATTTCTGGACACATCTCTGGTTTTTCCATAAGTCTCGACCCCTTTACTAGTATGTCTTACTTGTACTTATTCAAACTCTACACATGATTGGCATTAGGGAGTTTTTATTCAGATGGTATATATTAAGCTCAACACGGTGTGCCCAATTTACTTACTGCATCTGCAACAGTAGTTTTCCCTCGAAAATGCAAATGAAGTCCTCACGCTGTTGAGCCCTGAAAATGACTTTTTTTCAGCTGGCAGGACTTTCAAGTATTTCAGTAGTGTATGCAGCACATTGAGGAAAGAAAAGCAAAGCAAAGCAAATAAAAACAACCCCCATTGTCTTTATTTAATTAGACATTTTACAGTAGTCACTCTTACAGTAGCTGCCTTGTTTTTCTTTTTCCCCATTGTTTCAAATATTCTATCACATGGATCAATGCAAAAGAAGGAATATATATATTTATATGTGAACACCCAAAACAGGAAATTTTGGCAAGATATTATAATAACATGATTTCAGCCCTGTGCATTCAACAGGGTGAATGTTTGGTTCATACATGGCAATTCAGTTTCGTGGGCAATAAATCTGCAAAAAAAACATGGTTGGATGAAAGATGAACCGAGTTGAAAACCTATTCAAGTACTTCAACTTGAATTCTTCGTGCCGATTCCAGAAAACCTGCAACCTGATGATCAACAACTCAGTGTTTGATATGGAACTATAAACTGCGCACAGGTATTTCCCAATGTGCAAGAACGTCTTTTAAATGCAAACCGCACTGAACATGAAATCTAAAAACAACAACATAAAAAAAAAACATTGCAACTACATTGTCGAGGTCACTTTTAAGGGATGCTGTTTGTCTACTGCCATCAAACGCTTTAAACTGCCATGTATTGGACCCAATACTGAATATAAGTGTGCAAGGAATACAGTCAGTGAAAGGTGTCAACATGCATGGTATTCTGGAAGGAAGCAGCTGCAGAGCTCAGCGAAAGATTGGAGAAAAGTAGTTTTGGAGGGTCCCTGGTAAGAGCCCGTTCAATAGTTCAACAGAGAAGATGGAAGTGATGACGGCGACATCAGTCCAGAACACGAGTCACGACCCTTCCTGCTCAAAGCTGCTTGTTCAGAGAACCATTAACAAAAACCAGGTGAGAAGCGGCTCAGACGCAAGAATGCGAATGCAGAATGTGTGTGGTTAGTCTTTTGAGTGATAACACTGAATACGGACGGAAACACCAATCGTTTCATTCTCTAATATGTTTTCAAACTAATTGGCCACAGAGCATTTTCCTCACCGTTCCCTAACAGAGAGACTTTTCTCCATTGCTGATGGGAGGCATATTTGGGTTCGGACCGTGCCGGGTTTAAAGGTGAGCAGCTGTAATGTCCTGACTGAACGACAGCAAACCAATCCAAGCCATATGTCATCAGCACTAGCCGAACCTCACACAGTTCAATCCTCACGTTCAGTGAAAACCTTCCCAGACTTGCAGGAATCTACAGCAGCATTATATAAGACAGCACAGCGTGACAGCACAGGTACAGACAGCAGCTCAGAGCAGCTACTAAAGCCTAGCGAAGTCTGCGAGGCTTCCAGAAGCGTGCCGTTGGTGCTGAGATCTGTGTCCTTCAGGATGAGAGCAGATATGAAGAGGGGAAGGACTGAGGACGGTCAGTGTATGGCACAAGGTCAAGGCCGTGAGCGAGTGAAGAGAAGGGAACACCGAGCACATCATAAGAGGCCATCGCCCAACCCTTAACACTGTTCACACACACACACACACACA